TTCAGCAAGCTGTTCGAACGATTGTAACCGGAGAATTCGCTATCGCGGGGATTCTCAAAGTGAATCGAACAACTGTAAAAAGTTCGTGGAACGTTGGAAAGAAAAAACACGTAACAGGTAGAAAATTGTTTAAGATATATCGAAGCATTTTGCATTTGAACGTCGGACATTTGTTTATTGAACGGTGATCTTAAGAGATTAAAACGAGCAGCTCTTTATAACCCTCCATGAAACGTTTTTATATTAGCAATAAGCGTATAGAATTAATGATTTTCTGCGACTGAAAAATTGCGGAGGTTTTTGACCTTGTCGCGCGTATTTAAAAAAAGAAAAAAGAAAATGAAAAAAAAAGAGGAAATTGTAAAAGTGCAATTAAAAGTTATTACAAGGAATATAACCTCTTTAAGAAAAAGAGGAATCTATGAAACAAAAGAAAAGTCGAATATCGATTGAAAGTGCAAAATGCTTACTTGAAATATTATATATAATTCTATATTGATAGCTCTTTGTAGAAATTCTTTGTATTCATGTCTTACTTAATAAAAAAAAACAAAACAATAAACCAGAAGGATTTGAGAAAAATTCATAATTTCGAAGAATATAGAAGCAAAATTTTAATTGAACGAATAATTATAAAAATATTAATAACGACAGACGTGTGGTATCAGGAAGTTTGAGAAACCCTGCTCTACCGAATTAAATTCTAAGATACTGTCCTGTCTCTTTAATTCGTTAAGTATGCATCATTTATTATAGAAGCTAGACAGCAAATATTAATGGGACATCTTCATAATTTGCTCGTAATTATAATGATTACACGTAAGTCTTCAAAAAATTGTGAAATCAAAGGTAAATACAAATGTGATTCTATAGTAGATTCGACGACAGAACGATATACGCGCAATAACTAGATTTTACCGGCGTTAAAGATTGTCGAATGGCCAAACTTTTCCTGGACATTTCTTTTCCTTGATACAGGAGTAACTGTAAGTGGATAGAATACGATCTTACATTTTTCTATACGTACTAACAGAAGACGTAAGAAGCACACGTTACTATGATTAATCTCAGAAACACTTAGAATAGCAATGTTTTGTAATTTATATATATCTTTACACGTCTATATATATACATATAAATAGGTACAACTGTACATAAAGATAATCGAGGTTTTTTGCGTTATATTTCCGATCTGATACATACTATATACATATATATATATATATATTTACACGTATCTTATAAAATAATGCTCGTGTATATTGCATACTAAATGAACATTTTTATCTATTGCGCCGGTAACCGAACCGGCGAGAAGTATTATGTACTTATTCCAATTGTTAAATATTGATTAAAACATTGTATATAAATTTCGCACAACTTTTCTTACATCATTGTATTGTGTGACATGTGCATGCGTTTTTTCGGTAAAGTATACGTAACTTGAAAATATCTGTGCAATCTTTATTGCCGTTATCAAAGTTTGCATTACTAATAATTAAGGTGCTTACTGATTCAATCTGTTTCTGTAAAGCGTGTTACTTTCGTATTTTTCATCTCACAATTATACTTATTCCAACAAATTTATTGTTTAATAACAATTCTTTTTGAGAATATAGTATCTGTCCAATAATAGTATATTTCTTATTCACATAAAAACTATAGGATCTTCACATTCAAAGGTAAGTATGATGATATATGGTGAATTGTCTTTTATAGCACAGGTACAACGAATATTGTTCAAAACAACTTATTCAGAGTAAATATGTATATTGTTGTCATTGCTTAACAAAATTTTGTAATATGAAATATTATAATTTGTTAATTAAAACCTGTTCTAAAAGAATAAAAAATATACAATATTATTAACTAAAATCTATTATAAAAAGATGTTGATAAAAGATACATGTAACGTTAGTATAGTTTGTATGCTTTTTCACGTAAATGTCACGTGTTAGCGGCGTGAGAATAGTCGTCATATTTTTGTTCTTCTACGATGAGGTATGGGGGCTTAACTGACAAATCTATTGCACAGTTTATTTTTCTTCGCATAGTTGTTCTTTTATAGGCCAGTTTCTTTAATTTACTTATTTCTGAACATTTTTAATCATAACAAAAATAAATACTTAGCACTAATATCACGTATCACTATAAATAGTCGACACATTTGGACAACGAAGCAAACATGAAGTATATGTGAAACATAATGTTGGAAGTAGTATCAAACTAATACTTTTATTTGTCAAAATTTGAACGATTTCATTGTTATCTTCTGGCGGAGCTGGAGTTGTTAAAAAAGTTCTCGTATGTAAGATCGATTGGTAGTACTGTTCGTGACGCGAAACGAGTGTAATTTTGTTGATCGTTTACTGTTAACATAGGAGCAGTGTTTTAGATATTTGTTGTCCTTTTTCGTAGACAAGGTTTAATAATGATAAAGCTCGTCCGGCCGCGACTAATTACGTTCGATGTGACCGGTACGTTACTGATGACGAAGTTAGAGGAATATTACGCTGAAATTGGTTCCCAACACGGCCTGTCAGTTGATTCACGCAAATTGGCGCGAAGCTTCAAAAACAACTTTCATAGACTTAGTCTCGAACATCCAATTTACGGCAAGCACACAGGCATTGGATGGGAAAATTGGTGGCGGCAGATAGTTCATAATGTTTTCAAAGACCAACATAGTTCTGTTTCAGATGCTACTTTGGATAAGGTAATAAATTAATACAATATCAGGAATCTACAGTTTAGTATCAAACGAGCGAAACAAATATTTCGTTTAATCTGTTCTTATTTAATATTTGTTTAACGAACAACGATTATTCTGATATGATTTTGCAAAAATATTTATCCACTGTAAGTCAATGTGGTTTAAAGGTATTATTTATTGTAATTTAGATTAGTATATCTAGAGACGGATTACATTTCATAGCTAGTATAATTAAATTGATAAAATAAATATAAATCATTTATATTTACTGTTTATTTTGTTACTAATTTTTTATCATTTTCCGTAAATTAACTTTTTGTATTAATTCTTGCTAATTTTGATTTTTAATTCTTCATTTATGAGACGAAACAAACATAAAATAGAGTAAGCATTGTCAGGAAAAGAAAAAAAAAGAAGGTCAACAAGAAAAAAATGTGAAAAGTCTGAATTAGTTCATTTAACCAAACTTGTACCTACTATCGATGACCCATTTATCGTTGTGACCCATAGGTTGCTAACAATTTGATAAGTTGCTACGGCACGAGCATGTGCTGGCACAAGTATCCGGGCACGATCGAATTACTGGAGTATCTTCAAAAAAGAGGCCTGATATTGGGGGTGATATCCAATTTCGATGAGAGATTGGAAGCGATACTCGAGGACACGAGGATACGGTTTTACTTTTCCTTCGTTTTAACGTCCTACGATTTCGGCGTGGAGAAACCAGACACCTCAATATTCGACGAAGCGCTCAGATTAACAAAGGAACAACACAGAATCGACGTGGCTCCCCAAGAAGCGATACATATTGGCGATTCTGTCAATAACGACTACATTGGCGCGAAAAATTCTAATTGGAACGCTCTTCTCATTCAGCATGATAGCGATACCACGAGTGAAAAAAAAGTCCCTACTGAAGACGTGTTTAGAAATCTTCGAGATTTGAGGATACATCTTTCGACACTTCTCAATAGGGATATGCAGTGCGCATAGTTTGACGGAATGAACTTGAAATATAGTACATATTTGAATCGTTAAGTTCAGGCGCTACTGTAACGATGAAGTATGAATTTAATTATTGATCAATGATTAATACGAAAACTTGTCAACATTGTTAATATATTTACTCGACGTTGATAAAATTGAACGCCAAATATATAGTTCTTCACAACATATTTTATAAAGTTTAAACTATGACATCTTGCATTGCCGAATAGTGAATTGACGTATATCATAACGCTTGTGTTTATGGATGTAATGTGTGTTGAAACTGTACTCGACAAATATATACGAGATTAGCAACAACTTTGAAGAAATATAATTTAAGAAGTAACTGATGTTATATATTTTTATTTTATGTGTGTGATTGTTAGTAGTAATTTATGTATATGTTTGTATTAAAGTATATGAAGTAATAGATATTTAATGATATAATAATATTGTTAATGTCAATAATAGTAAAAGACGATGTGAAAAACGTATATTTTAATATACATTAAATACATACTTATACTTTTATACAACTGTAATTGTTGTATGCTCCTGCAGTTTTTAATATATATTCGCATCAATTTGTAAATTTATAAATTAATGACATTTTTCATCAACTAGATATCAAGTCGTATTAATAATAGTTAAACGGCTACTTATTAAAGAATCGTGAACACATACGTGAATTTATACTGATAAAAAGATAACTGTTTCAGCATTTCCCGAAACGATGACTAGCGAATTATAAATACTGTATAATTTTTATACACAAAAAATTTGTTAATACACATCGATTTTACTACCAATTACATATTCAACCTTTTTTCTATAAAATATTCGTCGCTTACCATAACATCATTAATGTTATATTTTTATAACAATTTTATCAATATAATTTTACATTTCCTTATTTTTCATTTAAAAAAAAATTAATAAAAATAATATAAAGCGACATTTGGAATACTCTAAATTACCGCAGCACTGATAGTAGTAGTAGGAAGATGTCATCGTTTCCACAGTAATCTTTCTCACTTCCGTTCTAGCAAGATATGAATTACTGTTCACGAGTTCTACGAAAATGATCTATAATTATCAATTCACAAGAATAAAAATCCATTACATTTTTCATTGCATTTAAATTCATTGAAATTTATACGCATTAATTAATATTAACGATAAATTTTCCAATTCTTAAAACATATTTTTTTTATAATTACAATTTAAAACTGAATTGCTGCACAATATCACAGATACTTATCGACAAATAATTACAATATAGCGGTACGGGATAAAAACAAATTTTTAATCGAAGTTTTATCTACTTTAAAACATTCTAAATATATACGCCAAGTGAATGGTAATTTGCTATTGTGTGTTTGCGTGTACTGTTAATAATAATATACGGAATGTAACCCTAACACGACCACACCGCTACATTTTTTTTAGCCAATTCTTGGCCTGCACTTTCTACCACGAGTGGCAGCGTGTTACCACCACAAACGCTCGGCATCAGACACTCACTTCCCCACAGCCTCACTCACGACTCCTCTCGTTCAGTTTCTCAGTGAGCTGTCGCTTGGAGAGAGGCTTTCTTCATGGTTTTCCAGTCTTCTGTCGGTTGAAGAGGTTAGAACGTGAATTTATTTCTCAGTTTCGAAAATTCGCGATACTCGTGTGAATTCCGTTTATCGACAAATCAGTGAACAATTCGCGGTCGGTTTGTGTTTTAAACAAATGTGAATGTTAATTATCTGCAGATCTTATTGTTTTCTTAGTAAGAGACGCAAGATAATTTCTAGTTTAAATCGTTTTCCTTGATTTTCTGTAAAGCTGTGAACGTAAATGAATAATTTGATCTTTAGATTATATTTTATAAATTGTTTATTCAAATCGCCACTCGTGATTCGTGTACCGAAATGTGTGATTGAGGGAAAACACATGCGTATTTATTTTACGAAATTCCGAATAGGCGGCAAAGAATGAAGTTCAAAGACAAAATATCGTTGAATGTAGTTTTTTAATTGAGAAAATTTGAAAAATTATAAGAGTGAGTTTCATTATTCGAACAAACGCCATCTATGCAATATCATGGAAGAACTTTATTTTGAATTAAAAATTATTAGGTCTGCTAACAGATCTGTCATATACGTATCGTAGTATATAAAATTACAATATACAATTTCAATTATGACTTCACTTTATGTCATAGCACATTTTGTGATTTTACATTAATGTAGCAGCATAATTTTCATATGACATTCATTTTGTATGCACATTGCCATTGTAACGATAAAATTGCTATCGAAAAATTCTCAATCATTAAATATAAAACACAAAAAATACAGAATTACTGTTCGGTTTTTATTTTTATGAAACTGTATATATTAAGTTTAATATACCAAGAATCAGTAATTATTCAGAAGACTAATATTAAGATTAATGAACGTTAGGCAGATAAGAAGGCAAGAAGTGTTCGCGGAATGCGGTCTCGGCAGTAAAAAATAAAAATTATTGTTGGGGATCTCTTTGTTGCCGATGAACCTGATCAAGAATCAGTGCTCACCCTAACCTTCAAAGAAAATCGGAAAAGTGAGAGTTTTCATTCTACGGATTTACGCATTTTTATTGAAGAAAGTGAATAGAAATTACAACAAAGAAGGCTCACCTAATACAGTTCAAATATGACGCGTGGAAGGCACAAGAGAATGTTAATGTTACTTGCAATCTGCTTGATCGCAGTATTTGCGGAACCTGATCCCTCCGAAGAATCGTATAATCGATACCCCAACAATCGAGGAGACGATAAATGCTACAATGATAATGGAAAACCACAGGTTCGTATCTTTTTTTTATTCTTTTTCCATTTATAGAATTAGATAGACGAATAATAATTTAGTAATCTTTATATTTTTGGAAATATATCATAATTATGTGAAATTTGAATTTAGTAAAAAAAAAAAGGGAAATTTGATAATGAAAATTTTATTCTATTTAAATAATGAATGGTTTGGTTATACTAAATAGGAATATAAATACTAGCATGAACAGACTTCTGTTTGTTCTTAGTCATTAGAATTTCGATTTTTCGGAGGATATTACTACATTAGGTTATCAACTTGAAGGTTCGAAGTTACATCAACTTTCGACGATAACTATAGAAAGATAAAATTAAGCAGACGTTCCACTACACTCTGAGAATTTCAAAAATTCTAGCATTAAAATACCGAACCTAGCCACATTTTTTACATTTACTTTATATTTATTCACTTACTTAATTTTAATCGTACATACTGTTTAAATGAATTTTAAACATTTGAATTTACTGAAAGTGTAAAATAAAGGTAGTCAAATTTTTCCACGAGGCGTTCAAACGTCTGTACAAAGAACTTTGTAGGAAATATTACACCAAGCTACCTGGGACGGAAATTACCTGCGGATATTGACGCCTCAGGTGGCCCTACTTTAATACAATTTATGCCTTTCACTATAATATATTAGGATGACAACAAATCTAACTTGGAATTTCCAAATTTTATTTAAAAAAAAATCCACGTGTAAAATTTGAAACAAGAGTGATTCGATCTGTTAAGTTTTGCAATGAAAATGTTGTTTTTATTAAATAAACGATATTCTTGAATGTGTGTGTGTTGTAGAGGTGTATACCACCTTTCGAGAATGCGGCGTTCAATGTGCTTATGGAAGCAACGAACACGTGTGGGCAGGAACGGCCAACAGAATTTTGTAAACAGACTGGTGTTCAAAAGAAGTCTTGCGAAATATGCAAGTACGGAGATCATCCGGCACGCTTTCTTACCGATCGCGATAATAACGACAATGCGACCTGGTGGCAGTCAGAAACAATGTACGAGGGCATTGAATATCCGAATCAAGTGAATCTCACTCTTCCCTTAGGTATGATATGATAAAAGATGTTTTTTTGTTTCATTTTTTCTTCAAATAATAGTTTAATTATTAACATAATTATAGTTATAACAAGCTATGTAGAATTCTGTATTAACTTGCAGAATTTCCGTAATCTATCGAGTACTCTAGTTTAGTTCAGATGTAGCGTAACATAGATCACGTTAATTGAGATCACTGTTCGTAGAATTAGGGTAGATAAAGTTAGTGAATGTTAAACTGCGTATACAGAAAGGGAGTTCATTCATCGGTATACGCGATGAACTTTTAACACGTCCTCAATGTTTGTCACTTTCTTTCTCCCACCACCTCTGTTCTTCTTTTTCCATTTTAACATCCTTATCTATCAGGATGCGTGCGCGATGAGATAATTCTCGGAACCACGAACCGTTGAAGAAACACATATAGGCTAGAGTCACAGTACGAGTGTTAATATTTTATTTTTTAAGTTTCCCTTTTTCGACGTAATTGTTTACCATTAAAAACATTGCACTTTATAGATCGCTTTAAAAGTAACTTTTCTTACATACTGTAAACATTTATAATTCTATCGACATATTTACATCTAGTCGTGATTTATAATTATTTTCAATGTTTGTTAGTTAGTATTCAAAAATGTTGCGGTAAATTTTAATTTTTCTTAGAATATTAATGTTGCAACTTTAGAAACCGCTAATAGCGTCTGCCGGTTAGAAGGTACTCTTTTAAACTTCTCCAACATATAACACTGTTAAGCATGAGGTTTTGTCAGTGTTATATATTTTAAACGATTTTTAACCGCGAAATAATTTTATTACATAAATAATGTTCTATAAATAATTGCAGTGAACATGTAAACTGGTTTAAGCAGTGTACTACGAGAATGCGGATAATAGTTGAAGCTTCTTAAAAATGAGAAGAACATAGAATCTATGCTTGTGCACCACATGTTCATTTACGAAAGAATCAACCACTTGCACCCCGCTGGCTTTACGGCGAAGAATTGCAGTGGCGTAGAATCCGTTCATTTCATACAGTAATTCCGGTGTCACTTAAATAGTCTTCCCTTTAGAAACATTTACTCGTACTTATACTTATTATTTCTAATTATTTAATGAATATATATCTTTTCGTTAGAAAATTCGATTTATAATAACCTTTAATATATCGAATAAATACAAATCTATGATGGTAATTTTTATATTTCAATGTTTGTCGATTTCTCATACTTTTTTGTTCGGAACGATTATAGGAAAGACGTTCGATATAACTTACGTGAGAGTACTTTTCGAGTCGCCTCGTCCAGAAAGTTGGGGCATCTACAAGAGGAGAGTCGAGAAATCACCCTGGGAACCATATCAGTTTTATTCCGCAAGCTGTAGGGATACTTATGATCTACCAGATTCGCTAGAGACTGTACGAGGCAATGATACCAGGGTATTATGTACTTCGGCCTATTCCGATATATCGCCTTTGACAAAGGGTACCGTCGCATACTCGACATTGGAAGGTCGACCTTCGGCCTACCATTTCGAAACTAATCCAGCTTTGCAGGTATTGTTTTGTTAATTTATCATTTCTTAAAAAAATTCTTTATCTCGTTAACAATTATATGCCTTACAGAAACGAGTTGTGCAATTTTGTGTATTAAAGATAAAAGTACATTTTATCTTTGTTATGTGTATTTTAATTACTATGGAATAAGGGGAAGCTGTGAAATCATTACAAAATGATTGTTATTAAAAAGGTTGAATAAATGGTGAATGTTTTTTTTTTCTGGTTTTAAGGAATGGGTGCAAGCGACTGATTTAAGGATTACTCTAGACGGATTTAATACGTTCGGTGACGAAGTTTTTGGCGATGATCATGTACTAAAATCCTACTACTATGCGATCGCTGACGTCGCCGTTGGAGCACGTTGCGCCTGCAATGGCCACGCTGGAGAATGTGTAAACAGTACCAGCGTGGATGGAAAAACTCGCAGAGTATGTAGGTAAGATAATTTATAGATGTGTACTTTTTTTCTTTTTTTTTTTTTACATGAAATGGCTGGTTAAATATTATTAAACGCTTACACGTGTATTTTGCAGAACAGCAAATATAAACTGGAATCACTCTGATGGTTTTTTGAATATTGATTTTGCATAGTTCAAAAGGATTCTATAATTCAGTATCCTATTTCTTTTTTTTATTGTGTGATTTTCAAACATACTTATGTTACATTCTTTATTAACTTTTTCCTATTTTGTTATTTTGATGTGAAAATTTCTGTAAAGCGAGCAAATTTAATTTTTCTCAGATGCGAGCATAATACTGCAGGCCCAGACTGTAACGAGTGTTTGCCATTTTACAACGATGTACCATGGGGACGAGCCACCACTACAGATGCGCACGAATGTAGACGTAAGTATTAAACGTTCGAATAACTTTTTATAATGTAATTTACAAAATATCGTTTAATGTCTGTATGAGAAACTAATTGATGAGATAAAACTATGTGCGCGTGTATGTGTGCCTATTCGTACGCACCCACACGTTCATTGGGGAGTGTAAACGATGAAAGAATCTGTTTGAAGGATCGGTATCTTGATCAGTGTGTAGGTGGGCCTTGGCAAACCTGCTCTTCAAACTGCCGTCTTTTACGTTCCATATTCGGTGACCAGAGCTTATGACTTACCACTGCCGTTAATCACATTTCCATTTAGCCATTATTTAAAACTGTTAACAGCGATGTAACCGACAAATTTATACACAATTTTTGAAATCTTTTACGTCTAACTTCTGGCAAAGCAAGAAAATAATTTATGGAAAAAAAAGTTATTTTCTTTTTAATAAAGAAGAAAAGAAAAAGAAATTATTATTTAGTTTAAAAAAGAAATGTCATTCTACAGCTTTATTATACAAATGAGCAATTAAATTAAATCAGGGACATCAATATTGTTTCCTAAAAAAATGTACAAATCTGAAAGATAACAAATGTAACTTCTTTTATTATTTTATGTATTTATATTATAACTACGTCATAATACATCTTCTTTGTCATCAAGATGCCGATGTCACCGATGTCAGCGCTTCTGTCCAAAGACAAATGTGCCATTATACTTAAAAGCACAGATCCCGGTGTTCAATAAGCTAACAATGATATCGTTAAATTAAGAAGTATGAGTTCTACTGATCTAACGTAACGTATTATTACAATATATCATCGTGTTAAATATGAAAGTACATATATCGTATAAGGGTGAAACATTTCTTCAGCATTGTGGGTATCACCTTTCTGAGCGACAGAAGAGAGTTTGCGTTCACGATCACGTTGGCATTACCTAACCAGCTTTACCTTTTACGTTCATTGCTTGTTCTGAAGTGGGGATTGTTGGCAATGCAGGGGCACACAATGCAGCTTTTCTGTAGACCGTGAGCTCAGTGCTCAAGATACCGCGATACAAGCGAACGTTTATTATATAGCGTTAATCAGGTCGCGTAACTGTGCGATTGGTTTCATTTCAACGAGAAAACAGAATCTTGATTTTATTCATCGCGATCGAATCCAACGTTCGCCATTAATGGAACGTCAATGTTGCATCGAAAATTTTAATGGTTCATTGCCTTCGATAATCGATTTCCTATGGAGTAATCGATGTGAACGAACAGTAAAGATATTGTTGAAAAGATCACGATTATTAATTCTTAAATATACATTATATTTTATATTTTGTAAATTGTTTACTGAAAGTATAAAATACATCTGTCTAATGGGAAAGTTTTGGTACTTGAGATGAATGTTCAGTTTAGATGAAAAGTGATAACAGTTGAGAAAAAAAAAATTATTTTCCCTTTTTTTTCTTTTCTTATTTATAATATTTATAATGAAGCGTTCGTCTGAAATGAGATCAATCGCGTGTTTGATACTCGTGTATGCAATGATCTGTACTTCATCACGATGGGATGGAATTCTTCCATGGTACTCAGGATCCAGTAAATATCTAGATAATGTTGTTATTCACTTTTTAAAAAAATATTACGCTATTAGGAAGAATTTTCTGGATTTATTATTTTATTACCTTAAAATAAATTAAGAATGTTTGACTAATGGTGAATTTTATCTCGTTTGATATCGCGTCACTATTTTTTAGCCTGCAATTGCAATGGTTACTCGGAGAGATGTTACTTCGATAAGGAACTGTATAAGGCTTCTGGACATGGTGGTCACTGCCTGGATTGTCGAGCTAATCGAGACGGCGCGAATTGCGAACGTTGCCGGGAAAATTTTTACCAGCGACCGGAAGACAATTATTGCATCGCCTGCAACTGCCACGAAATCGGTAAACGGATGTTTCTTTTCGTCATTCTCATTTTAAAACTGACACAACTGTAATACTAAGTCACTTTGATTAATTCTGTTACGTTTTAATTTTCTGTTAAAATATCCACGTGAGAGGGAGACTAAAAATTGATCACGACTTACAATGTAGAAAAATGAACAGCAAATGATTATTTAATACTATTTTACAGGTTCGAGAAGTTTGCAATGTAACAGCGAAGGAAAATGTCAGTGCAAGCCTGGTGTAACGGGTGATAAATGTGATCGTTGTGCAGTGAATTATTATAATTTTGGCTCGTATGGTTGTACATCTTGCGAATGTAATGTAGCCGGATCCTTTGCGAATAAACAAAACTGTGATCCTATTAACGGTGTCTGCACTTGTAAAGAGAACGTTGAAGGAAAGCGTTGTCGAGTGTTAGTATATTGATATGTTGAAACTTTTAATGGCAATATGTTTCAAAAATAAAAACTGAAATAGTAAATATAAATTCGCTAATACTGTGTCTATTATAAAAACAGATGTAAACCAGGATTTTTCAATCTTGCGATGGACAATGATTTCGGTTGTACACCATGTTTTTGCTATGGTCATTCCTCAGTGTGTAGACCGGCAACTGGCTATTCTAAAATTGTAATCGAGAGTATGTTCGTGAGGGCAGCTGAACGATGGACAGCTACCGTAGCTGGTAACCCGATACCGCTTCATTACGATCCTGTTACTCAAACGATATCTGCTACAGCACTAGATCGAGACAACGTCTATTTTGTTGCACCTGGTAAATATAATCATCCAAAGTTTGTGCATTTGTTTTTTTTTAATAAAGATATCAAAAACTAAAATTTGTACAACAAACAAGCATAATGGAACGTTATGTCCTATTATTGAAAACGTTAACGAAGAATTTAATTATACGCAGATAGATTCCTCGGTGATCAACGAGCATCTTATAATCAAGACTTATTGTTTATTCTGAGAATTGGGGAAGCTGGTCCTGCACCTACTGCTCGTGATATAATACTGGAAGGTGGAAATGGTGAACAAATTACACAGCCGATTTTCGGGCAGGATAACCGTTTGCCTACCGTAACAGTAAGTGAAGCAACAAAATGATAAAATGTATGGTTTACTAATTCATAGAAAATTATTTCAGCCTCAAGAGTATCGTTTTAAATTGCACGAACATCCTAATTATGGCTGGGAACCTCGTCTGTCTTCCCGTGCTTTCATGTCTGTTTTGTCAAACTTAACTTCTATTAAAATTCGTGGCACTTACACGCATCAAGGTACTTTGGCAATGATTTCTACACGAAAACCGACGTTTATGTTAATGAAGTTTCTGATACATTTAGCTTTATTTTCTACAGGTAGAGGATTCTTAGATGACGTTAAGCTGGAGACAGCTCACCGTGGAGCTGCTGGTAAACCCGCTGATTGGGTGGAGCACTGTCAGTGTCCAAATGGCTATGTAGGCCAATTTTGTGAATCGTGTGCACCTGGATTCCATCATGACCCGCCAAATGGTGGTCCTTTCGCCCTTTGTGTACCTTGTAATTGCAATGGCCACGCAGATATTTGTGAAGCCGAAACTGGTATTTATTTAGAGTATATTTACAATAGAAACTCATGTCGAAATATATTTTTATATCTGAGTGTTTGTCATCTCATTTACTTTAGGACAGTGTATTTGTCAACATAATACCGCTGGTAGTAATTGTGAATTGTGTAAGCGTGGATATTATGGTCATTCGTTGAAGGGTACATCCGATGATTGTAAACCATGTCCTTGCCCTGACAATGGACCTTGCATATTGCTTGGTAATAATCCGGATCCGATTTGCTCCGAATGTCCATTGGGTAGAACAGGTAAAAATAAAGGCTTCATATGAATTTATATCTTCTTGTAAAAACACAATTTTATTTATGTTATCTTTTGTTTAGGACCTAGATGTGAAACATGCTCGGATGGATACTTTGGAAGTCCTGAAAAGGGTATAGCTTGCAGACCTTGTGACTGTAACAACAATATCGATTTGAATGCTGTGCGTAATTGTAATCACGAAACTGGTGAATGTTTGAAGTGTGTAAATAACACAGCTGGTTTTCATTGTGATGAATGTCTTTCAGGTACATGTAGTATATACCGTGCAACTCTTATTTATTTAGCATATTTTAAGAATATTACAGCTAATAATATTTCTTTCTAATATTCAATAGGTTACTATGGAGATGCATTGTCTGATCGAAAAGAAGATGGATGTAAAGTATGCCAGTGTTACCCGCCAGGTACTGTTGAACTTGATTATGGTAGAGTAGCACCTTGTAATCAGTTAACAGGGCATTGTATGTGCAAATCTCACGTAATCGGCCGAAATTGTGATAAATGTGAAGAAGGATATTATCATATTTTAAGTGGAGAGGTATTACAAATTCCTATAACCGTTCCACAAATGAAGAACGAATGTTCGTTGCCTAAATTACATGATAATTATATGCATATGTTTTAGGGATGTGCACCTTGCAATTGTGATTCTGAAGGTTCGTACAATCGTACTTGCAATCCTGTTACTGGTCAATGTGAATGCAGACCTGGTGTTACCGGCCAACATTGTGACGCGTGTGTTCCTTATCAATATGGATTTAGCAGAGAAGGTTGTAAATCATGTGATTGTGACACTATCGGTTCTCAAGACCTGCAGTGTGATGCTAGTGGGCAGTGTCCAGTATGTTTGATATATACATATATTTAATAAAAAGTAAAACTTCTAACAATTCGCTATAGTAATAATTTATTCTTATATTATAGTGCCTACACAATGTAGAAGGAAGACGTTGTGATCGTTGCAAAGAAAACAAACATAACAGACAAAATGGATGTGTAGACTGTCCTGATTGTTACAATCTTGTTCAAGCTGCGGCTAATAATCATAGGGAACGCTTAGCCAAATTGGAAAATACGCTTAAAAAAATTAACAGTAGCCCAACTGTTATAAAGGATTCGGACTTCGAGAAAGAATTGAAGAACATTCAGGATAAAGTAAAAAATCTTTTGCAAATCGCCAAACAAGGATCTGGTAGTAAGTATAATTTGTTTAATTGTTTACTCTTTATTTGAATGAGATTGTACAAGAAAATGTTTCAGGTGAAAACAAGACCTTGGTTGAGCAACTTGATGAATTACGTGATCAATTAAATGAAATTGGCGAAATTTCACAAACCGTAAACTTGACTGCTTCTGAAGCACATAAAACTACTTCAGAAGGTTTGATGAACATCGATGAAGCCGAAAAAGTGCTTGACAAGATACACGCTCAATTAACTGTACGAATAATATTGATATGGAATATGAAATTTATAGAAATTAGAGTACTGAATTTGAATTTTGTTTGAAATTCTAGGATGCAGAAGATTATCTGGCCACCGATGGAGCAACTGCATTAAGTGACGCAAAATCGCGTGCAGATCAAGTTGGTCAACAGAACAAACAAATGACTTCAATTGCGCAAGAAGCACGTAGTTCAGCTGACATGTAAGTAAATTAATTTTATAAATTTTGAAGATTTAATTACAATTTATAATATCCTGTGCTTACAGAAATGTTAATGAAGCAAAGAAGATCCATGTATTAGCGGAACAAGCTCGAACTACAACAATAGAAGCTTATACACTTGCAAAAAAAGCTATAGCAAAATACACTAATATGACGTACGTATTTATTTCTTACTCTAGTATTGGTATTTGTATTGATATTTTTTCTAAATCAGTTTATTTATAATATACTTCTTTGAAAAATTTATTTCATATATAGTGACGATATTAGAGGGTTGGAAAACAAATTAGAGTTACTGGAGCATCGTATGAATGACGTGAGAAATCTTACCAGCATAGCAGCCACTAAATCATCCACTGTTTCACAAGAAGCAATAGATCTATTGATTCTGGATTTGACACTTCCACCTGTTGACATCGATCAGTTACGAAATCAAATTGATAACTTGAATAACGAGGTAAATTTAAATTGTAACAAACATTATTGTTATTGATAACACATCAACATATCAATAATAAAATACATTATAGGGGCTGCGATTGAAAGAACAAGCACAGTTATTATTAGATGAGAATGAAAGTCTTCTGATAGAAATGGCGGAGAAAGTAAGAAAAAGTGAAGAATTAATAGAAAAAGTGCAAGATCAACAGACATCTACTGCTGAACTTTTAGCCGAATTAGATGGTGCAAATGAAAAAGTAGATGATGCTGTAAAACGTGGTGATCAAACATTAAAAGAAGCTCAGGAAACATTGAAAAAATTGAGCGGTATATATCTTTTTTATTATTTTTATTAATAAGAATAATAAAATTTTTTCTTTGAAAGAAAAGAAAGATCGTATTTCCCAACTGTGATGTTACTTTCAGAATTTCATGCTGAAGTAGAGCGCGAACGTATTAAAGCTCAAGATGCTTTAGGGAACATAGTAAATATTAAAGAATTAATTGAAAATGCGATGGAACATGCTGCGGAGGCTGAGGAAATATTAAAAGGTTCTGAAGATAATGCCGAATATGCTCGTAAAAAAGCACAAGATGCTCAGGTATATTAAATGTTCTCTCATTATATAGTATAATACATATAATTGACTGCCTATTGAATACAAAATATGTTTACATTAGACATACGCAGAAGAAGCTAGTGCAAAAGCAAACGCCGTTAGAATTGAGGCAAATAAAACTAAAATAGAGGCACTTCGTGTAGGAAACGAAGCCGAGAAATTACATCAGAGAGTTGATATTACAGATTTCATGATGAAAAAATACGAAATTCAAAGTGGTCAAGATACAAATATTACAACAGAAGTAAGATATCATAATTACATAATAATGTAATTGCTATATTATTTGATATTTTTTAGGCGAATCACAAAGTTGGTCAAACTAAGATCAATGTAACACTAGCATCGAACCAAGTGGATAAAGCTTTAGCCGAAGTAGCTGAAATTATAAAAGAACTTGCAAATCTACCAGAAATAGGTGTTTACCTCTTTCTGTTCCATTATATTTAAATTAACTTATTCTTCCTCATACAAATCAAACGTTTAAACAACTAACATTAAACTTCTACAATAATTTAGATGATGCTGACTTAAATCGCTTAGAAGAACGCTTAAATGCAGCTGAAGAGGAAATTGTCGCTGCAAATCTTGATCAAAGAATTCGAGCGTTAACGGATGCAAAAAATTTGCAATCACAGTGGGTAAAGAATTATGAAGACGAGGTCAATAGACTAAGAATGGAAGTTGACAACATCAGTGAAATAAGGAAAGTTTTGCCTGCTAAATGTAGCAATCGTGTGCGACTCGAACCATCATGAAACACTTTATAAAGCTATACGATACTTAATTATGCAATTGTTCCATTTTTCATATCACTAGAGGTGCCTTATATGCATTGAAGAAAAAATGGAAACTGAAAAAGATTTTAAAATGCATAAATATATGTTTAAAATAATAGTTGCAAAATTATCCATACGTCTTTTTAAAATTTACATATGACATTGTATATTTCAACTTTTTCCAAGAATCATAAAGAATATTTTGATTATGGAATCATGATAAAATTGAATAGGGTAGAATATATTATATATTAGTTCATTGTCAGGCAAGCAAGATGATATTATTTGTGCATTTACATTTAAATCATTTTATTGAACATATCATCTAGAATATGATATTGCATTTTTTTCTTAAAAATTAATACCATGCGCTTATATATACAAGCGACTGCAATAATGATCCCTATACCAAAGATTTTATATAGTAGACATATTTTCTCTCTGTTATCATTACCAGGCCATTTGTATTATTCAATTCGTTTAATGTCTTTGGAACACAACTTATTTGTACTTATGTACAAACATGTATATAGTATCTATATACGTTCAGTTTATTGTAGTTGCCATAACTTTTAAGTCCCTTCTTAAGTTTTAAGAAAGCTTCGAAAGTTCCTCCGAAAAAAGGCAAGTTTTAACTTTTAGTATACAAAATTGAATGTAATACATTGTGTGACTTATTTATAAGATGTTAAAGAAAACAAACATGTTTACAATCTAAAGGAGAACGGAAGCCTAAATATATTTTACAATATGTATCACTATAAAACATTTTTATATACAATGTAACACTTTTATAAAATACTGATACATATCTAATATGAATACAAAAATAAACAATTATTGGAGAATACGTGATACAATGTATTAATATGAATACCTATAACTAGAATAGATTGATGATAAAGAAATATTTACCTCTTTTCTTAAATATTGTGAGGTACAATACATAACATAATCCTTAAAAAAATATCTGAATATTTTAATGAAATTATTACCTGCATTTAGGGAGGGGAATTTATAAAGATCCTGTCAAAAATATAATAACTGTAAGTATTTATTATAATGAATCATAGAATATCGCTATCGATAATTTATTATTAAAACAGAATTTAACACATTCGACTAAATGCTATGAAGAAGAACCAATAAATTCTTAACAAAGCTAGGAAATCAAATGATTCACTTAATTATAAATAAAATTATTAGAAACACCAATATAGCGGTCAACACTCCAATGGCTACCCATTGTCTCCGATCTAAAACAAACGGAAAGTAACATCACATGCGTCACTTATAAAAAAAGTCAGAATCAAGAGATTTTATCATCGTTCAATGAACGACGGTAAAATTAAATGAGTAACATATTGTATACTGTATAAGAAAAATTAATACTTATATATTTGGCCCTTCTTCAAACAGTAAATATTGTACATTATTTTCAACATGCATTCTTCAAAAAGCACATTATAACATCACTAGACATTT